ATCCCCGGTTAAGGACAGACTGCGCCACAATGGTAAAACTTTGCATATATAAGGACCATGAGAACTGAATCTGACTTACTAGCATTACTTGAGGAACTCTCTTTCATTAAATGGGATGTTGTAGGACTCTGTGAAGTTGGAAGAATAGGCAAAGAATAAAGATACTAAATGATGGAAAACTGCCCTATTAGAGAGGTAAACCCCAAGGTAGCAAGCAGGAATTAATAAACGATCTGAATAGAGAAAGTCTAAAAATCGGACTTTGGATGAATAAGAAAAAGAATAAGGTCATGTTAAACAGTAGAGTTCAAGTCGACCAGATAAATGTACAAGGCGAAGCGCTAGAGTTGATTAATGGACAAGTATATAGAGCAACTCATACAGACAAACATATCTAACGAAGAGGAAATGAAGCGACGCATCAGTCTAGGCTGGAGCGCCTTCTGCGGACACAGTAGCATACTAAGAATCACACACAAAGAACTAAGGGACACCAGTGGACCAGCCGACTACAGGAGGGAAGGGGGCTAGGAAGGACTCAAGAAATGGCATGGAAACAACAAGCGAGGATTAAACAACTAACGAAAGGAGAGGGAAGAGAATCAAGCAAGGAAAGAAGAGACAAAGAACAGAGAAGTAAACAATAAACATGATGAAATCAAGGGGAATGTTAAAACTGTTTTCTCACTTTTCAATAACTTTACTCTGTGCATTTGGTTTCTCTGTCATATATGTACACACACACGTGAATGCAAGGCAACAGTACGGCAACAGCACACAGATCATATGGGAGTGGATGCCTCGTATGCCTTCCCCACCTAGCTACGCCACTTCCATTTATATACATTTATTGAACTATTTCGAATCTCTGTTCAGGACACTTCTTAAGCTAGGAAAGATTGACAGTTCGATCTCTACAGGATCCGCTAGAGGAGAGTTTGGCGGCCAGGGCTGAGCTGACACACAAGGGGGCCAGGTCTAAGGAGCAGACACAGAATGCGGCCACGGCTGAGCAGACACAACGGGCAGAGGGGGCTAAGGAGCAGGGGCAGCAGGCGGCCAGGGCTGAGGAGGAGGCTAAGCATGCGGTAAGGGCTGAGGAGCAGAGGCAGCAGGAGGCCAGGGCTGAGGAGCAGAGGCAGCAGGAGGCCAGGGCTGAGGAGCAGAGGCAGCAGGAGGCAGGCTGCAGAGGCAGCAGGAGGCCAGGGCTGAGGAGCAGAGGCCAGCAGGCAGGCCAGGGCTGAGGAGCAGAGGCAGCAGGCGGCCAGGGCTGAGGAGCAGAGCAGCGCAGGGCAGGGCGAGCAGGAGGGCTGCGGCCAGGGCTGAGAGCAGAGGCTAGCAGGAGGCAGCAGGGGCAGGCTGAGGAGCAGAGGCAGCAGGCGGCCAGGGCTGCAGGAGCAGAGGCAGCAGAGGCTGAGGGCTGAGGAGCAGAGGCAGCAGGCGGCCAGGGCTGAGGAGCAGAGGCAGCAGGCGGCGAAGGAGGCAGAGAGCAGGAGGCGATTGGAGGAACTGGAGGAGAAAATGAGGAAGATGAAGGCCCAATATGAGAGTAAGGTGAGGCAGAAACAGATAGACAGAACCGTGTCCCTGTTGACAAATGTAGAGAAGGTGGGAATGAGAGGGGATATCTTCACGATACAGGAGATCTCTTCGCCAGAAATAGATATTCATTCCCGTTCATATATCTCATAGATAGATAGATCGACATAGGCTGATAATTAGATAGATAGATAAGTAGGAAATATCGATAACTAACTGAAAAATTATAGACAGACAAATAAATAGAAAATACAGATAAATAGAAAATATAGATAGATAAATAAGAAAAAATATAGGTAGATAAATAAAAAGTATAGATAGATAAATACAAAATATAGATAGATAAATAGAAAATATAGAAAGATAAATAAAAAATATAGACAGATGAATAGAAAATATAGAGAGATGAATAGAATATATAGACAGATATAGATATAAATAAAAAAAATATAGATACATAAATAAAAATATATGCAGATAGATAAATAAAAAATATAGACAGATAAATAGAAAAAAGATAGCTAAACATCAACATAGAGGTAGATAGATAAATAAATAGATAAAGAGAGACAGACAGACACACACTTCTGGATCGCAAAGGCCTTCCCTCCCGGCCTCTGCTCCGACTCACCGCCCGCGACTCAGCCTCATGAGTAAGTGGGTCTGACTCACTCACTCACTCACTTCAACTCTCGCCTTAAGGAGTCGGAGGGAGGGAGGCGTTGTTTGTTTGTTTGTTTTTAGTTGAATATCTCTTTTGTTTATTTTTTATTCGTTCGTTTGTTTACCCATTTTGTTTGTTTACCCATTTTTTGTTTGTTTACCTATTTATTTGTTTATCTTATTTTAATACCTTTTTGTTAATTTCTATATTCATTTGTTTGTTTTTTACTCATTTGTTTGTTTCTCCATTTATCTATCTGCTTTTTGTTTATCTTATAGTATCTTATTGCTTATAGTAAATAATTTGCTGATTCAATTTTATATTAAATCTTTTCGTATCAAGATTTTGAAAAATAAACTAAATAAGATAAACAATTAATAACCATTTTAATGACACGAAAGAAATGGATCGAAATGTAATTTTTCTATTTTAATTTCTCATTCTCCGAATTCCTTTGGGTTCTCCTTTCCCTAATCATTTTGCGCGTTATTTTCCCTAATCCCTTTCCTTTATCCTTTCCCTAATCCCGCTTTCCCTAATATCCTTTCCTAATTCCTTTGTTTATCCTTTCCCTAATCCCTTCCTTTATCTTTCCCTAATTCCTTTGCTTTATCCTTTTCCTAATCCCTTTTTACCCTTTCCTAATCCTCCTTTATCTTCCCTCCCCTTTTATCCTTTCCCTATTTCCTTTATCCTTTCCCTAATCCCTTGCTTTATCCTTTCCCTAATCCCTTTCTTTATCCTTTCCCTAATCCCTTTCCTTTATCCTTTCCCCTAATTCCCTTTCTTTATCCTTTCCTAATCCCTTTCCTTTATCCTTTCCCTAATCCCTTTGCTTTATCCTTTCCCTAATCCCCTTTATCCTTTTTCCCTAATCCTTTCCTTCATCCTCTTTCTAATCCCTTCGCGTTATCCTTTCCCTAATCCCTTTCCTTATCCTTTCCCTAATTATCCTTTTCCCTAATCCCTTTGCTTTATCCTTTCCCTAATCCCTTTCCTTTATCCTTTCCCTAAATCCCTTTTCCTTTATCCTTTCCCTAATCCCTTTCCTTTATCCTTTCCCTAATCCCTTTGCTTTATCCTTTCCTAATCCCTTTTATCCTTTCCCTAATCCCTTTTATCCTTTATCCTTTCCCTAATCCCTTTCCTTTATCTCTTTCCTAATCCCTTCGCGTTATCCTTTCCCTAAATTCCTTTGTTTTTATCCTTTTTCCCTAATCCCTTTGCTTTATCCTTTTAATCCCCTTTCCCTATCCTTTCCTTTATCCTTTCCCTAATCCCTTCTTTATCCTTTCCCTAATCCCTTTCCTTTATCCTTTCCTAATCCCTTTCCTTATCCTCTTTCTAATCCCTTCGCGCTTTGCTTTAATCCCTTTCGCGTTATCCTTTCCCTAATCCCTTCGCGTTATCCTTTCCCTAATCCCTTTGCTTTATCCTTTCCCTAATCCTTTCCTTTATCCTCTTCTAATCCCTTCGCCTTTCCCTAATTCCCTTTGCTTTATCCTTTTCCTAATCCTTTCCGTTATCCTTTCCCATCCCTTCGCTCCTTTCCCTAATCCCTTTCTTTATCCTTTCTAATCCCTTTGTTTTTATCCTTTCCCTAATCCCTTTGCTTATCCTTTCCCTAATCCCTTTCCTTTATCCTTTTCTTTATCCTCTTTCTAATCCCTTCGCGTTATCCTTTCCCTTATATGCGCGTCTACTTATATCTCTCGCGTGTCACTGATTAGAGTCACTCGGGCATTCACGCCTCGTCCTCCATCTCCTTATATGGGCCAGTGGAGCGTGACGCATCGGGAGTGTTGAACTGGATCACCATCGCTGTCATTAGAGAATAGAAAATAGAGATAGATAAATAAATAGATATAGATAGATAAATAGAAAATATAGATAAATGAATGTTAAATATAGATAGATGAAAAGAAAATATAGATAGATAATAAAAAATATAGATAGATAAATAGAAAAAAAGATAGATAAAGAAATGACCATCGCTGTCTTTAGAGAATAGAAAATATAGATAGATAAATAAAGAATATAGATAGATAAATAAAAAATATAGATAGATAAATAAAAAATATAGATAGATAAATAGAAAAAAAAGATAGATAAAGGAATGACCATCGCTGTCATTTCCGCAAACAAATTTTCCTTTATTTACAGGAACGGGGAATGAGAAGCCAAATTGACGAGCTTGAGAGGGAGAAGTCGGCTCTTCGGAATGAGAAGTCTGGTATGAGAAAGAGAATTTCGGATTTGGAAAAAGAGAAGGTGAGTTGTATTTTGGAAGAGAGAGAGAGAGAGAGAGAGAGAGAGAAGAGAGAGAGAGAGAGAGAGAGAGAGAGAGAGAGAGAGAGAGAGAGAGAGAGAGAGAGAGAGAGAGAGAGAGAGAGAGAGAGAGAGAGAGAGAGAGAGAGAGAGAGAGAAGAGAAAAGAGAGCGAAGAGAGAGCGAAAGAGAGAGAGAGAAGAGAGAGAGAGAGAGAGAGAGAGAGAGAGAGAGAGAGAGAGAGAGAGAGAGAGAGAGAGAGAGAGAGAGAGAGAGAGAGAGAGAAACAGTGAATAAGAATGGCTTAGAAGACAGATATACGCATCGTGCATAAAAATACGGCTATCATCTGGGAACCACTCTCGAAGTTAGTGATAGCACGACATCCAACTTGATTTAGATTACCTTTCACATTCTCTAATCTTCAACATCCGTGGCAGAGATCACAGGCCACACCATCGTGGTCCTTCTCTAAGCTGGTTCTTCTAACACATCTTCGTCTGTCCATCAGTATTTCTACCGTAGATAAATTAGAGGAACAAACTTACACATGGAAGTAAGAAAAAAAAAACAAGATTACTGGAACACTCAAATAAAGCAAGCCAATCTGATTTATTTATTTTTTTTTTTTTTTTAATTTCGCTTTTGAATCAGCCATGAACATCATTGGATGAACTATTTTCAAACTAACATACTTTTTTTTTCATCTGTGCATATGTATTTCTCTAAACTGCATTTGAATCACATAGAAATGTAGCCAAAAGGAAGATCTAAGCGAGATTAAGCTTCTCCCAATCCTCTCATATTCAATTCTTGTGAGCCTTAGCCCAGGCCAGGTATTCCTTCCTCATGGTTAAGGCCAGTCTTGGTAGGATTTGGGAGGAAAATAGCCATCTTTAAAAAGAAGATCAATATATGACATTAAAATAAATTAAAAATAGATATAATAAATATAATAAAATAAAATAAAAGAAGATAAGAGAAGACGCTTTTTCCGTAGAGAACACATCGCATCACCCCTTTCCCCCACTTTCTCACATTCTATCCTTTTCTCTCATGCCAAGCACCTCCTACCCCCTCTTTCTCACGTCACTTTCCCTCCTCTCACAAGCATTCCATCTCCTCTCTCCTCTCCTCTCTCTCTCTCTCTCTCTCTCTCTCTCTCTCTCTCTCTCTCTCTCTCTCTCTCTCTTCTCTCTCTCTCTCTCTCTCTCTCTCTCTCTCTCTCTCTCATACATAATTCTCCCTTTTCCTTCTCTTCCCCACCTCAGCGCGAGGCACAGGAAGACCTAGATGCCGTTAGGAACTGCCTGAAGGAGGAGGAGAAGGACAACGAGCAAAACCAAAGTTACTTGAAAGCGAGAATCAATAAACTAGCAGATAAGGCGTCGCGAGAGAGCAAGGAACTGGTAAGATAGCTAATATTGCTGTTAATGATAATGACAATGATAATGTTGATGATCATGATAGTAATGGTAAGGATAATAGTGATGATGATGATGATAATAATGATCGTAATAATGAGGATAGTGATAGTGATCATGATATAGATGATGATAATATTAATAATGAAACTAACGATGAAAATACTTATAATAAGAAATAATAATAATGATTGTGATAATAAAGATTATAATGATAATAATTTATAACATTGATAACAATGGTAATTGTGATGATGAAGATAATATTGACTGTGATAAGGATAACAAAATAGATACTTGTTATAGCTGTTATTATCATATTATCATCACTGTAATTTTCTTCATTATCATCATTATTAGGATCATTATCATTTATATATTAATTTATATAATCATTATCATTACAATTATCTAATTATTGCTGCTGTTTCTGTTATAAGCATTAGTTATCATAATCATTGATATCATTATAGTCATCACCATCATTATCATTACTTTTTTTTATCAATATTGTTATCGTTATCGTTATTATCACAATTTTCACCATTGTCTACTGTATCGTTATACTTTACTGATGTTTCCATTTTCTGTCATTACTGTTCCTATCAATGTTTGTCTTATCCTCATCTTAATCATCCTTATTATTAATTATCTTAATCATCCTTATCGTAATCATCCCCGTATTCTAATGTTGCGCCGCACCCACGGCTCAGGAGGCGACTGGTTCACACGCGATGTTCTTTTCACAATCAGTTCATCCCCGTTGTTTTCACAGGTCAAAGTCATTCTTCTGTGCGTTCATTTGTAAAGATGGGAACATGAGAAATGTTAAAACTTTGGTAAAGAATGATAGAATTGCCAAATAAAAAATGCCTGTTGGTCGAAGCTAAAGATATCTTTTTCGAAAGGTTTATATACGCTCATTTTTTTCTGTCTGGCAAACAAGAGCCAACAAAGAACAATGAGACCAGATATACGGCCTGTTGTTCAAAGTGCGCGAGGCCCGACCCAATGAAGATTCATATATGCGGACATGCATTTATATATAGATAAATAAATCTGTTTATCTAGTAGATATACATTGATCTACGTGTCTATCCGGTAGATATGCATGTCTAGATCAATAGATATGTATTTATTTCTGTGTATAGGCCTGGCCGTATGATGAATGCTCCTTGGGTCGGGCCTCGTATAACTTCCACAAACGGGCCGATGGAGGACACCGGGCGGTGAGCTCCGGCGCGCGTGAGATCCGGAGCAGACCGAAGGCCGTGTCACACTAGCGCTTTTTCCGTCATTTTTTGACAATTTTATTTAACATAAATACAAACATTCTCCAAAGGCCGTGTCACACTAGCGCTTTTTCCGTCCTTTTTTTTTGACAATTTTATTTAACATGGATACAAACATTCTCGAATATAGCTCGTGATTTGACTTTGCTTGGCTGAAAAAGTTGACGGAAAGGTTTTCAGACGGAAACGATCGTTATCGTCTGACTGGAAAATCGACATTTCGCCCAAAAATGGACAAAAAATCAGAAAATTGTCTAAAAATGACGGAAAAAGCGCTAGTGTGACGGCACCTTAATATGCTGGCAAAGCTCTCGCGAACAGACCCCGTTCGGAGGGGAGGGAAAATGCTCCTGTAACAGCCTATGAACGGAAAAGCCAAACATTTAACCCGCTATCAACATCCAGCAGCGGCAACATGCTCACTGCTTAACAAAACATCGAAAATTGATATTACCGATGGATAAAGAGATCTGGAAATGGCCTTGGGCGCTGTCATTAGAACCAGCCTCTTGTGGCGTGGCTGTTCCTTTGAGCAAACCCCCCCCCCCACACCCACCCACCTCGGAGCTTTACCTGTGATATCGTGATATTTGTTGTGTAATTTTACGAACCGTAGTTAACTTCCTGTCGTGGCTTGCGGTTGGTGCCACTTGTGTCTGTTTGTTCACATGATTGGTTTACATTTGCTATAAAACAGCGAAATGATGGCGAGCCTGGATTCGAAAACGCCTTTGCCTTTAATTTGTGTCGGAAATCGACCACGGTCTGACATTTTCAAAACACTCCGGAGAGAAGTGAGGCCTTGTGAAAACACGAAGTATTCTGTGCTTGAAACATTTTCACACAAAGCGAGTCTGTGTGATAATACTTGGTTGGAATTTATGTGAACCAGCCATTTTCTTAGCTATGGAAGAGGGGCGTGGCTCCTGTGCGAAGGGAAGAGGGGCGTGGCTCCTGAGCGAAGGGAAGAGGGGCGTGGCTCCTGAGCGAAGGGAAGAGGGGCGTGGCTGAGCGAAGGGAAGAGGGAAGAAGGGCGTGGCTCCTGAGGGAAGGGAAGAGGGGCGTGGCTCCTGAGCGAAGGGAAGAGGGGCGTGGCTCCTGAGCGAAGGGAAGAGGGGCGTGGCTCCTGAGCGAAGGGAAGAGGGGCGTGGCTCCTGAGGGAATGGAAGAGGGCGTGGCTCCTGAGGGGGAGGAGGGGCGTGGCTGAGCGAAGGGAAGAGGGGCGTGGCTCCTGTGCGAAGGGAAGAGGGCGTGGCTCCTGAGCGAGGGAAGAGGGGCGTGGCTCCTGAGCGAAGGGAAGAGGGGCGTGGCTCCTGAGCGAAGGGAAGAGCTCCTGAGCGAAGGGAAGAGGGGCGTGGCTCCTGAGCGAAGGGAAGAGGGCGTGGCTCCTGTGTGAAAGGACGAGGGACGTGGCTCCTGAGGGAAGGGAAGAGGGGCGTGGCTCCTGAGGGAATGGAAGAGGGGCGTGGCTCCTGAGGGAATGGAAGAGGGGCGTGGCTCCTGAGGGGAAGAGGGGCGTGGCTCCGAGGGAATGGAAGAGGGGCGTGCTCCTGAGGAATGGAAGAGGGGCGTGGCTCCTGAGGGAATGGAAGAGGGGCGTGGCTCCTGAGCGAATGGAAGAGGGGTGTGGCTCCTGAGCGAAGGGAAGAGGGGCGTGGCTCGAAGAGGGGCGTGGCTCCTGAGGGAATGGAAGAGGGGCGTGGCTCCCGAGCGAAGGGAAGAGGGGCGTGGCTCCTGAGCGAAGGGAAGAGGGGCGTGGCTCCAGAGGGAATGGAAAAGGAGCGTGGTTCCTGAGGGAATGGAAGAGGGGCGTGCTCCTGAGGAATGGAAGAGGGGCGTGGCTCCTGAGCGAAAGGACGAGGGGCGTGGCTCCTGAGCGAAGGGAAGAGGGGCGTGGCTCCTGAGCGAAAGGACGAGGGCGTGGCTCCTGAGCGAAGGGAAGAGGGCGTGGCTCCTTGGGAGCGAAGGGAAGAGGGGCGTGGCTCCCGAGCGAAGGGAAGAGGGGCGTGGCTCCCGAGCGAAGGGAAGAGGGGCGTGGCTCCCGAGCGAAGGGAAGAGGGGCGTGGCTGGCGTGGCTCGAAGGGAAGAGGGGCGTGGCTCCCGAGCCGTGGCTGGCGTGGCTCCCGAGCGAAGGGAAGAGGGGCGTGGCTCCCGCGCGAAGGGAAGAGGGGCGTGGCTCCCGAGCGAGTCTCGCTCATGGCGAGGAAAGCAACGCCGACGATCTCCCGCAGGTGGACGCGCACGAGCGGCTGGCCGAGGCGAACGAGAGGGCGAGGCGCGAGAGAGCGGCGAGAGAAGAGGCGAAGCACGAGATAAAGACTCTCCGAGCAGAGGGAGGACAGAGAGAGCAAAGGATCTCGGTCCTGGAGGAATGGAAGGTAAGTCTGAGGGAGGAGAAGGGGGGGGTAAGGAAGGAGGAGAGGGGGGGTTAGGGGGAGGAGAAGGGGGGAGGGGAGGGAGGAGAAGGGGGAAGGGGGGAAGGGGGGAGGAGAGGAGGAGAAGGGGGAGGGGTAAGGAGGAGGAGAAGGGGGGAGGGGTAAGGAGGGAGGGGGTAAGAGGGGGAGGGAGAGGGGAGGGTAAGGAGGGAGGAAAAAGGGGGGGAGGAGGGAGGAAAAGGGGGGGAGGAGGAGAAAGGAGGGAGGAGGAGGAGAAGGAGGGGAGGGGAGGAGAAGGGGAGAGGGGGAGAAGGGGGGAGGGGGGAGAAGGGGAGAGAGGGAGGAGAAGGGAGGGGAGGAGGGAGGAGAAGGGGGTGAGAGGAGGAGGAGAAGGGGGGTAGGAGGGAGGAGAAGGGGAGGAGGGAGGAGAGGAGGGAGG